GATTAACATCCCAAACAATTATTTCATAGTTAAATTTATAGATCCAGAACATTGGCGAGCTCAATATCGAAGAGTACTATGCAATGGCCCCTAGGTAGTTAAACAACACAGTGTTTTAGTCCAAAGGTGGACTCCATATTTCAATGCTTACCGAAACCCCCTTGGACGAGTAGCCACCTGGGTTCGAATACCGGACGTTCCTTTGCATTGTTATAATAATAGATTTATCTCATGGCTTGGAGATAGAATTGGGAAGACCCTGAAAGTTGACATCAACACATTGGCAGATTTTCAGGTGCAAAACTCAAAAGTTAAAAGGGGAAAATACACTAGAAGCTGCGTGGAATTGAATTTACAGAAACCACCGGTACCAAAGATTATCGCCGCTGGTGAGATATTCAAGGTTGAGTACGAAGGACTAGGACTAATATGTTTTAGTTGTGGTAGATTTGGGCATTGAAAAGAGGCTTGTCCTTGGAGGTGTAGCTCAAGTTCTAACCATGATGAACCTGCTTCATCAAATACAGCGGTTGTTAACTCAATAAGCTCACCGGCGGTGAAGAGCTTGGAGGAAGAAGGCAACTTTGGCCCTTGGATGATTAACCCAAGGAAAAACAGAGCTCTTTTCTCTAGGTGAGCAACTCAGACAGAGGGACAAAAACGAGATATAGTGTCTGACAAGGCATCAAAAAAGACTTCTTTTGTCCAGAATTCCATTTTGCAGTGATTGAATCTCTAGAGGAGGAGGAAAATGTGGAAATGGAAGGTGCTTTAGTTACAACCAGAGGTAAAACTCACTTTGATGGAAAAGAAAAGGAATTGACATTGATAAGAACAGGGAAGGTGGTGACGGCGAAAGCTAGTACAATAGGACGGCTATCAAGATATGTGAGGAAAGAGGAAAAACAAAAGCCTCAGGTAATTTTTAAACCGAAAGGAAAGAAAAATATAAAAACATCTAATGGGCTGGATATGGAAAATGGGCTGGACAAGGTTTCCAAGTCAACCTTCATTGGTGAGAAGAAGGTTGAAATGGGCCAGATAAATAAAACAAAAGCAAAAAGAACTAGAACCCATTATGTGGTTCAAGGAAACATGGAAAATTTGGAAAATGTAAACTACCGAGCCCAAGACTTAAAGGCCATTCCTTGTGGAGTTTAGGGACACATGGAAGAAGTGGGAGTCATTCATCAAACTCAAAATTCAATAGTCTCCCCCTATATAAATGAAGAGCAATACCCGTCCTCACCGTTTAGCATACATGCTAACCAACAAAATGATAATAGCTCTAGTCCCCTATTGCCCAAAGGTGCAAATTGGTAATCCGAAACCCCCAAATCCTATAGAGCCAGATTTTGAGCATGCTCATGCAAGTATTGATGATGACATTACTGAGCTGGCTGAGATGCAAGATGTGACAGAGTTGGAGGGGAAAGACGATGAACAGAAATGGTAAGTCCCTTTCCTTTGTCTGCTTCTTCTTGATTATCAATGATTATAGCATCTTGGAATTGTCGGGGGGCAGGTAGCCGTGCCTTTCCCATTACTATTAGAGATATTGTGTCTAAATATAAGATTGACATACTCTGCCTGTTAAAACCACGAATAAGTGGTGCACGTGCTGATAAAGTGATAAGATCTCTGGGTTTCAGTCACTGGATTCAAATTGAATCTAATGGCTTTACTAGTGGTATTTGGATTCTTTGGAACTTTGTTGACTTTCATATCTCTTATGTCACTTCCAATCCTCAAATTCTCCACTGCCGAGTTCTTGACCAGAGTGCTAACGGCCTTTGCTATATTTCTGTCGTATATGGAGAAACAAACAGCAAAGGCTAAAGAACTCTCTAGGAATCTATCCGCACTATTGCCTCTGTTTGCTCAGATCCTTGGTTAATTATGGGAGACTTTAACACCTTCCTATTCCCCCAGGACAAAGAAAGGGGCGCTGAACCTGACAAGTATGCTATACAGGAATTTCAAAATTGTATACTCGGGCCTTCTTGAAACAAATCTGAGTAGTAGTTGATTCACTTGGGAAAAAACTAGGCTAAGAGAAAGGCTTGACTGGATGTTTAATAATTTATCCTGGGAAAGCCGTTATCTGAACTCTTTAGTATCTCATGGGCTAAGATTTACTTCAGATCACAAAGTGGTTATTGTCAGTACCGCTTCTACTAATTCAGCACTAATTGTTACTAAGAGGTTCTCTTATCAAGTGGCTTGGATCTTTGAAGAAGGATTCTCAAATATAGTCTCTAATGCCTGGCAAGGTAAAGATTGGCAACAAGGACTAAAACTCTTTCAGTCTTCTTTGCGACACTGGAATGAGAATAAGGTGGGCAACTTTACAATGAGAAAAAAGAGGATAATGAGGCGACTTGAAGGAGTAGATAGACAGGGTAGGACAAATAACCATCTAGGTTTGAAAAAACTGGAAGATAAACTTTGGGTGGACTATCATAAACTCACAGCACAGGAGGAATTAGCATGGTACCAGAAATCGAGGTGTAAATGGCTTCAATGGGCGTACCACAATACAAAGTTTTTTCATGCTTCTACTGTGATGAGACGCAAGAAACAAAGAATTTCCACCCTAGAAAATGACCGGGGAATCTGAATTGATGATCCAACTGAACTAAAACAAATGGCTTATTCCTTCTACCAATCATTATATACTTTTGATGGTTCAGTGATCAGCCTAGAAGGATGGTGTGCACAATTTCCAATGCTTACTGAGATGGAACTAAGTCGATTGATGAAACAAGTGGATAGAATTGAAATTAAGAATGCTGCCTTTGCTATGGGTGCTTTTAAAGCTCCCGGTCCTGACGGACTGCAGGCACATTTCTTTCAAACACAATGGAACGTGATTGGTGATAAAGTGTGTAGCATGATAGAAGATTTCTTCATAATGCCCTATAAGATCAAAGAGGTTAACCAAACCAGGATAGTTTTAATCCCGAAGGTGGATAACCCCTCCTCCCTTAAGGAGCTAAGACCGATCTCCCTCTGTAATGTGAGCTTCAAAACTGTCACTAAAATCCTAGTGAATAGGTTGAGAGGAGTAATGGAAAAGTTGGTTAATCAGGAACAAGCTAGCTTTATTGCTAATCGGTCTAGCTATGACAATATTGTGATTGCTCAAGAAATAATGCACTTTATGAGGAGTAAAAGTAGAAAGAAGAGTTATGTGGCAATCAAAGTGGACATGGAAAAGGCCTATGATCGACTTGATTAGGGTTTCATTTGAGATACTCTAATATGCTTACAGTTTGGTGACCAACTCATAGAACTCATTATGGCTTGTATTACTACTTCTTCTATAGCGGTCCCATGGAATAGATAGGAAGGCCCGGCTTTTAATCCGACCAGGGGCATTCGTCAAGGTGATCCCCTAAGCCCATACATATTTGTCTTGTGCATGGAAAGACTTGGCCACCTTATCAAAGAAGAATGTGTAGCAAGACGATGGAAGCCTTTGAAGTTTTGAAAGAATGGGCCTAGCTTTTCTCACTTATTCTGGGCAGATGACCTTTTGTTGTTCGCTGAGGCATTTAAAGAGCAAATGACAAAAATTCGAGAAGTGATAAGGAACTTTTGTGCTATTTCTGGACATAGGGTGAATCTTGACAAGTCCAAAATGTTTTGTTCCAAGAATGTTCATTTTAATATAGCAAGGGAACTCAGTCAAGTGCTTGGGGTTAGTATTACAATAGTCTTGGGTAAATATCTAGAAGTACCCCTTCTTCATTGCAAAGTTACAAAGTCTACTTTCAAGCCTATTGTGAACAAGATATATAATAAACTATCAATGTGGAAGCAAAAGGTTCTTAATGTGGCTGGTCGATCTGTGTTAATTAAATCGATTCTAGCCGCATTACCAAGTTATCAAATGCAGTCCTTGCTCCTTCCTCTTGGCACTGTTGCTGAAATAGAGAAAATTAGTCAGAAGTTCCTTTGGTTTCAGGATGAAGGAAAAAGGAAAATGCACCTCATCTCGCGGGATAAAGTGACTATGAGCGAGCAAGAGGGCGGTCTAGGCTTTAAAAACCTAGTAGCACAGAATAAAGCTTTCATTATGAAGCTTTGTTGGGGCATGCTAACCAAACCAAATGCTCTCTAGGTCCAATGCTTGAAGTCGAAGTATAGGTGTGGTGATGATCTTATGCCAAGCATCAATAAGAAAAAGAAATTCTTCAAGAACTTGGCATGCCATTACCTCGGTATGGGAGACTTTCATTCAACAAATAGGAAAGAGAGTCAACAATGGACATGATACTAGCTTTTGGTGGGATAAATGGCTTCCACTGGATAGACTACTTATCTATTATGTGCATCATTCTGATAGAATTAATTCTATGGATAAAGTGATTGATCATGTATCAGAGGATGGGCGTTGGAAGGTGGATGGTTGGAGAGACATTCTACCCTCTTGGATTATTACCAGAATTATCTGAATACCTCATCCTGCTTCTAATGTTAATGACTATTTCACTTGGATAGGGGCTGCTTTTCAATTAAATCAGCTTATGACTTTATAAGGGGGTATAGAGAAGGGACGAAAAGAAGCTTTTGGAGTCAGTTATGGAAGTGGCAGGTTACTGAAAAAGTCAAATATGTGGCAAGTCTCTCATCAGAGAATCCTTACTAATGCACTCAGAGCCAAGAGAGGATTCACAAATTCTAGTCAATGTTCGTTTGAATGTGGGAGGGAAGAGAGTGTTATACATACTCTTAGAGACTATTTGAGAGCAAGAGAGCTGTAGACTAATATTTTAAAACCTAACATGCTTTCTAGATTCTTTTCTGGTAATTTGCAAGTTTGGCTAGCATGGAATTCACGAAATAACCCAACACGAGGATGATTTGGTCAACATTCTTGGACTAAGACTTTTAGTCTAGGGTGCTGGCTACTTTGGACTTCAAGATGCTCTTTTGTGTTTAATGGCATGAGTATGAGTACAAGGAAATTACTTCATAGGTGTCTCAATTTACTTATGGAGTGCTCCACAAGTAATAAGCTTCACCATCAAGTGTTCAACATTTCTGTAGTACAGGAGAGAAGATGGACTCCACCACCACAGGATGCAATTTGGGTTGATGTGGACAGGTCAGTCAAACAACAAAATAGTGCAGCATGTGGCGGTTTAGTCAGGAACTCTGAAGGAGATTGGTTGATGGGTTTCAAGAAATGTTTAGGATGCTCTTTGATCATTGAAGCAGAACTAGTAGCTATCCGAACAGGCCTGGAAGTGGGCAAACAGCTCGGGTGTACCAAAATCATGGTCTATTCTGACTCTTTAGAGGCATGCAACCTTTTCATGCACACGTGTGCAGCAGATAATCCACTTAAACTGGTTATAAATGACATAAGGGACTTGGTTGTTGGAGACAGGGAAGTGACGCTCCATCACACTACTAGGACCATCATGGGTTGTGCTGATTTTTTGGCTAAGACAGGTCATAGTGACTATACTGATACAATTTTGATTCCAGAGGCTCCGACTGAATGCCTGGCCATATTATTGGAGGACAAAGAGGCTACAATTGCCGGAAGATCTACTGCAGCGACTACACGAGTTTTTTAGGATTTTAATTTTCTCCTTCAAGCCTAGCTTGTCCTTTTCACCCAAAAAAAAAAAAAGCATACCTTCTCTCGATTAGAGCAAGGAATGATATAATTAATTTTTGTGATCACGCCTTTAGTCGATTTACTTATATTTAATTTATTTGATTTTGTGGTTTGAAGTAAACAAGACTCTTGACTAGAACGACCTTTACAGTTGTTGTATTCATACTATATTTATTTATATTTAATTTATTAGAAAAATTAATTTTTTTGGTCTTCTATGTTTTAACTCAGTTATAATTCAGTTCTTTAATTATGACTCAGAATAACTTAGTTCTTAAACTTTTAATTTGATCAAAACCCAGTCTTTAATTTTTTTTCATATTTAATAAATTAATTCTTGTCATACACAACTATTTTTTTCATATTTTTTCCGTGCTTCATTTGTGATCAATATACTAGCAATTAATATGTGATATTATTAATTATTAAATTAGATACCCATGAAACTTGACATATCCTCTTATGCTCTGTTTTGCAGGTTTGACTAGAGAATTATTGCATTTGCTGAGGACAAGGTCAAGAGAGATGGCATTGATGTGAAAAATGGGATCCATGGTTGTGAAGGTGTCGGCGAAAGAAATTTCTACCAAGGAACTGAAAAATGGAAGAGTGAGTTATGTATGATAAGCGTTAACTTACTAAATACAAGAGAATTAGAAACTAAAAGCCTGTTTGTTTTTGTTCTTTGTTTTCTTGTTCTCAAAGCAATTTTATAAAATTGTTTCTTAGAACTATATTTGAAAACAAAAAACAAAAGAATTTGTTTGGATAATAATTTTAAAAAATCATGTTTGAAAGGAAAAAAATAAAAAAATAAAAAAAACACATTTGGTAAGTGATAGTTGTTGTTGATATTGATAAGTAGTAGATAGTAAGTGAGAAGAGAAGAATATTTCTCAAAATTTTTCAAACTAAAAAACAAAAAAATAAAAACAAAAACAAGAAAACATGTAAAATTTGCTAGTTTTTTAGTTTTTAAAAACATGTTACTGTTTTTTGTTTTTTAAAACAATCAACTAAAAACAAATTACCAAACAAGTTTTTTTGTTTCTGTTTTTAAAAATAAAAAATTATTTTCAAAACAAAAAATCAAACAAGTCCTAAGTTTCAATCGAGTTAAAAATTCAAGAACTCAGTCATATCAAGTTATAATTAAGAAATTAAGCATAACTGAGTTAAAATTTAAATGACCAAACAATTAATTTTTTCTTTTATATTTTAAGTGTTGTGTGTGTGTGTGTGTGTGTGTGTGTGTGTGAATTTGAAGACAAACAGTAATAGTTTAAGGTTACAAATAGGATTAAACCACAACTTTCTACTTACAAAAGAGATTTTAGGCGACAAGGCTAATGACACATTTCTTTGTATAAGCGATAATTTTATGATTGTAATGGTGGCTAAATATAAGAGAAGAAAAACAGCTACGGCAAACAAAACCTTTAATCAATTAGTCATTTTCAATAAGTTTCACCAAAATTAAAAAAACTCTAGAGTTAATTAGCTTTGCCTTAAAATTTAAGAAATTTTCAACTCATCTATTTAAGATATACATTTTTCAATAAAATAACAGTATAAGGATAAGAAATAAATGATAAAATAGTATATTTATGCAAATATTTAATATTGTGACTTATAAAAAGAATATAAAAAAAACTTCCCTTCTTATCTTATGAATATGACTAGGGAAGTAATTAACTAAATATGCTGCGTTTGCCAATTGGAAAAGGACTACTTGAGAACGGAAAAAAAAAAACAAGCGAAAGTTGCAGTGAAACTTGTCTCATAAAGGGACAAAACGGCATAACCCATGCTAGAAATTCAAAAGCAATTTTAAATCATTATCTGGTGTTTAAAATAAGCAACGTATTCATGCTTTTGGTAGGTTTGCTTATATGTAACTTGGAGTTAAGATGTAAATTTGTTCCCAAAATTTTTACTTTTGTATTGGGCATTCAAAAAAAAATTTGAGTTCAATATTGTCTCTAAAATTTAAAATAGTAGTAATTTTACCCCTTATAATTAAAAATATTAATCATTAATGAAACTATCTTAATGGTCAATATTAATTTTTTTAACATTAGGAGGCAAAATTGCTAATATTTTAAACTTCTGAGGTAATATTAAACTTTAAAAAAAAATTGGATGCCTAGTACTCTTAATTGAAAACCTTTCAGAATAAATTTGTGCATTAACCCTTTAATTTATTTTATTTTGTGGTTTGAACATTGAAATAAACAATGACTCTTGACTAAAACGACCAAAACAGTCTTTTTGTTCAAAGTTATGCTAAATTTATTTAGACTTAATTTATTTGATCTTGTCGCTAGGAAACCTCGAAGCAATGGAGAAGGGAAAAGTTACATGAAACGATTGTTAGGTTTCTTGAAAAAAACTGTGCCATAAAAAAATAATTTGAAAATACATTCAATCTCCAAATAGCTGCAAGTGGAAATTTTATTTGCAAATTAATAATTATATGTTAAATTTAAAAGCTTGATTTATGACGGAAATTTTTTAGAATTTTAATTATTTGTTTTAATATGCCCTATTCATTTCAAAGAATTCAAGCATTTAATTATTTTAAATTAATTTTTTGTTGCCTGACTGTCATTTCTTAAAAATTTATTTTTAATTGTGCTTAGGGTTTCAAACTCAAGTTGACAACTAAACACGAGTGTTGCACTTGTTGCAGGACTTAACCCACCACCTTACAGCACGAGCCGACGACAGCCATGCATTGTCTGTGTCTGCGTTCCCAAAAACACCTCTCTCTTTCAAGAGGATCCACAGCATATCAAATTCTAGTAAGGTTTTTCACTTTGTATCGAATTAAACCATATGTTCCACCACTTGTGCAGGCTCTCGCCAATTCTTTTGAGTTTCATTGTTGTGAACATACTCCCTAGGCGGAATACGTAATGTGTTAGCTTCGGTTTAGATGACCCTTAAAAAAATGTGGAGAGGGAGACATGAACACATGATCGTGTTTTTATATGAAAAATAGAAGTTGGCTATTTGAGATATACATACACATACGTATACGTATATATATTCCCAAATATTTGTGTTGTCAACACTCACCACAAGTCAACAACTAAAAACATCCAAAGCCCACGCGGAAGAAGATTTCAAATTGGAAATAAACTTCTCTCATAAAACCAAAGTTGCATTAATTTTAAATTGGCTTGTCTTTTTTTTTTTTCCATCCTCATTTTACTCATAATTAATATATTCTCTCTCGTTATCTTTTTCTCATACATTCTCTCTCATCTTGTTTTTCTTACTCTCACCTACCCACTTATAAATAAGAGCATATTTAAATATATGTTTTATATATTTATTATTTTAAACTAATTTTAATAGTTTTCTTAAATCACACAATTTAGTTATTTAATATTATGAAAATGAACAAAACTACCTCTGGTCTCTGATCTTTGATATAAAAACTAGTTTGACATTCAATTTGGTCATAAATTTAATACCCAAATTTATTTTATCTCTCATATTTATTCATCCTCTTTCAAAATAGCCTTTGTAGTAATTGCACATGTTAAATGTTTTGTCAAATGATAGTCTTAACTAATACACATAATTAGTAAAGATATTTTAGGAAAGGCAATACCTATTAATTACAAGTAACTAATTTAACTAATTTTTTAATCTACTTAAATTAGTTAAATAATTTTTTATAATAATTGGTTTCAATATAATGGCGAGGTTGCCATATTGGTCCCTTTGCCGACATGGCGCCAATGAGTAATGACTATTTTCTGTTTTGAATGGAAAGGAAAATGTATTAACAGAATGTACAAAGATACAAGGCACTACCATCTAAGCCTCAGCGCCTAGGAGGTTCAAAAGGCTGTTAGCTTTGATGGTGTGATTAACAATGGAACAAACAGAAAGTAAAATGCTATCAGTAGCTAAGGACTCGTTGGTAAAAATACATTTATTTATGTTGTCCCACAATTTCCAAACGAGGGTTCCAAAAAATAGGCGTCATTGCATTAACGATCTTCGTGGATTGAGATTCTCTTTGATCCAGTCCTTGTAGGGCTTGTTGAGAAAGTCATTAATGTGGTCCTTATGGATAACTTTTTGCCAGCATTCTTTTGCCGCTGGGCAGAGACGAAGCACATGGTCTAAGTCCTCTGAATCAATATAGCATATCTCGCATATCCCGACATCAATCATTTTGCTTCTCATGCATTTTGTATTTGTGAGGAGCTTGTTCTTCAACACGAGCTAAAGGAAGGTACGAGTGCACTGCATGCCTAGCCATTTCCAAACCCAGGACCAATGTTGAGTTACCGTCTCCCAAGTTAAGTCGTGGGCTGCTTTGTAAGCTGAGGCTGCAGAGAAGGCTTCACTGTTGGTGAGACTTCAGAGACAGGTATCAATACTAGCCGTAGAGGAGGGTGGATTCGTAGCTACAATTTGAAGCATGATATTTGGAGGAAGTATATGCTGGAAGAGTTCCCATCTCCAATTCCTTGAGGGGTCTACAAATTCCTTTAGAGGTTTTGTTAGTTCGGCTTCCAGAACATCAGCGTAGGTGAGAAACTTTAATGGTGCCATGTCTCCAATCTAGTTATCTAGCCAAAACCTAATGCCAGAGCCATCGCCTGGTTTCCAAGATATTCCCAATTCAGTCTCCGGCTAGACCCTCGCAATGCTTTTCCATATATGTGAAGCTGTTTGTGTGTTGAATTTGTAAATCGAATCTTGCGACCATTGATATTTGGCCCTTAAGACTTGGACCCATAATGAATTCAGCTTGCTTATTAGCTGAAAAGCTAGTTTGGAGAGGAAGGCATGATTCTGACCAGTTAGATTCTTCAGACCGCATTTAGCTTTTTGGCGAGGCATGCATATATCCTCCCATTTTACTAAGCTTGTTGTGGTGCTTGTACCATCAAAACCCCAAATGAATCTGTGAATGAGTTTTTCAATGGT